GCGGTCAACTGACGAGATTTACAGGGCCGATCCTGCTTGCAAGTAGCCTGATTAAATCGCTTTACGGTTGCCAGCTGCCCAACATCCAGCCGGCCCCTGCTAAAGCCACGTATGGCAGACTTTGCATTAAACCGACAAGCATGTACGTACCGGAAGTTCAATTGTAAGAAAGAATCCCTTAGTAATTAACTTTTGTTTATTGTGGATAGGTGACCTGTATGTATAGAAACTACTTTTCGGTGGTCCCAAGAGGTGTAAATCAGTTGTCCGCTATTCCTCACCCAAGGCTGCCTGATTTACGGGTTAAGGCGGCATATAGTGAGTAACATATATGCTAATTCAAGTTCCCATACAAACTCTAAATAGTCATAGAAACTCTAAGTACCTATAGAAACTCCAAGTACCCATAGAAACTAGAAGTACACACAAAAGAAAAAATTGTGCCTATGGTCTTTCGTAAAATTTCGTAGAAACCACCGGACTGCTTTTTCCACCCCAAAATCGGACTGGACTGCTTTTTTCGCCAATCGGACTGGACTCCTTTTTCCATAAACCCCCATATTTGACCGTGGTCTTCGTCTTCCTAAGACATACCTGCATACCAAATATCATCACAACCCATAAAGGCATTATGAACTTATAAGTGCGGAAACACACACACACACACACACACACAGACAGGCCAAAAACAATACCGCCATTCTCGAAAGAAAATTCAAACTCTACTACTGGATCAGTTACGGATTTTTATTTATTTCCGGACGTTTCGAGTGACATCCATCACTTTTCTTCAGCGTCACAAATGAACTGAGAACCGAATCACTCTTATATACAAGTAACTAGAAAAACCGGTTAAACAACAAGGTCTGTAAGAAGCTTATCATGTAAAATGTGATGGATGTCACTCGAAACGTCCGGAAATAAATAAAAATCCGTAACTGTTCCAGTAGTAGAGTTTGAATTTTCTTACGAGTATCGTTTACCTGGATGTCTAACCTTCATCAAAATACCGCCATTCATTTTTCATGGAGGTATAAGGTCTCGGACCGGAGTTTTTTTTCACGATTTTGGATCCGGCGGACACCCTCAGACCGAAGGGCTATAACTCCGCCAAAAAAAGTACGCCGGGAAATCTCATTACATCAGTCAACGGAGGTTTCCAGCCGGCTTCCGATACAATTTTGGTTATTGTCCGTCTACTCTATAATTTGGGTAGAAACTGTAGTTAAACGTAAATTTTGGATACGAAAAATGTGTTTTTTTTGCAGTTTTTTCAACGGACCTGCTTGGAAAAAACGAATTTTCCCAGGCTAACGGCTTATATGCTGAAATAGCTTACTACTTTCTGTTTCTGAAAAACAGAAAAAAAATATAGGTTGTTGCGATAAGTTTTTCGCAAAATCCGGTGACGCGAACCCCTAGAAATTCCACATAGAACGCAGCTATTTGGGTCATCAGGCTACAAACCACATCACCCTTGCTCGCGGACTGATACCAAAAACGCTTCGCTGGCCGTCCAACTTCACCGCGCCGAAAAACACTACAATCCCAAGGCTTTTTGATCAATTCAAAACCTAGTTGAAAATCTACAGCGATCGCCGAGCTATGGGGAGCCAAACCTAGCGTGACAACCTCGCAGATCCGGCGATTTACTGCGCACTATTTGGAACCCAGGTCAGAATTAAACTCCGACCCGGAACCATAGTTACGGGGTACCTTCAAAGAAAGAGAATGGGAGGCATGGCGACAGCGCTACTATTGGTCAGACTAAGTGCTACTACTGGTTTGACCACCTTTTGCTTCCTATCTGATAAACCCGACCCATCGGGCCCAATTTTCGCCAGAGCACCAGGTACGAAGTGAAGGTGAGCAACTCATTTTTTTCGTCCGTTTTTCTCTAAACGTTGTCATGATTGTCATCGTTCTCTGTCACTTTTTCGTAACCGACAAATTTACCAATTTACGGGGACTGTATATATCTATATACTCGATAGCTCAAACTATGCTCTATGCCGACGCCAGTTACTTTAGAGCCCACTTATGCTGAGGTCATATTTCCCAACCGGGGCCTGGCCGGGCTGTTTAGATTAACAAAAAATCAATAATTCATATCAATGATATACGCAAAGGGTTCCAAGTATTCATTTTGCCACTTTTTTTCTGCTTTGTTGTCTTTTATATCATACTTTTCGTTTCATAAGACTGCCCGGCCGGGCCCCGTTTTGGAAATGTGACCACGTTGTCCTCTGTAGTTCCCCTAACTGGTTTTGGTCCGTTTTGGGAGAACGTCGTATACTGCTAGTCTCTACCAGGCTGACTACGCTGGCTGTATATAGGAGAATATTGCCAGGGGAGTTTGGCCTCTTTTGGTTTGACTGGATGAGGTAAAGATCTAGAAGGCACCTTTCCGCGGCCCCACTCCCCTGGCCAATTCTACTCTCTTCTCTATTTTTACTCTCTTTCAAAATTTTCTGGGGGAGCATGCCCCCGGACCCCCCCTAGGAACCTCGCGCCTTCGCCGCTCGCTGGTCCATCACGCACTAGGAAGACCCCCCCCCTTCAAAATCCTGGCTACGGGCATGACGTATTCAGGGTTCCACTATCGGCCTCTTTTCTGTCTCCTGTATGCTTTTTTGACTGCGTTGTCTTTTGGCCAAATCAGCTCCAAGGCCATTCTCGCCTTGTCCAACTTGTACTCTTCTGTAACATAGGCAGTAGACAGGGTCAGTTTATTCCTACCAGCTAAGGCGGCCTTGATAGGCACCCAGTTATTTTCTTCCCAAAGAGTTGCCGTTTTTCCTTCAATCTGCAGTTGCCAGTAGTGGAATCTTCGTTTTGAGTCGTCTATGTCGCTTGTGTATAGCCTCCGTAGGCTTTTAACAGGTTCTCGCTGGATTGTGGGGATGTTTTGGTTGTTCACTGAGAAAACCTGGTTTCTCACTTTCCCCCACCTGAGTAAACAAGCTTCAAGCTTGTCGGGCTTGAAACTCATCCGAGCCCATTCGTGCTAACGACTCTAGTCTCCGCAACACGCGTTTGGCACAGGGGGCTTTCTCCGAAAGCTAGCCACGTCGTCCATAAACGCCCTGAGGGGCGGACGTCTCTGACCCGTGGCAGCTTTATCCCTCCTGCCACCTGTCTCGCAACTATGATACCTTTGTTTGTTTGTTACCTCCATGAAAATGGAGGTATTGTTTTTGGCGCGTCTGTGTGCGTGTGTGTGTGTGTGTGTATGTGTGTTTGTGTTTCCGCATTTTTGAACCTTCATAACTCCATAACGCCTTTATGGATTGTGATGATATTTGGTATGCTGGTAGGTCTTAGGAGGACAAAGGTCAAGGTCGAAAATGGGCCTCCTGGTGGATGGCCTTGGTACTGCAGCAGCACTTCCGGTTTAAGGTTGAGTCAGGGCATGGCTGAGAGGAATCTCCTTTGTACTTGCGAGCCAGGGTAACAGATGTGGCTATGCCGAGCGAGGCAGCGCGCTCCCTCAGGGGAGTAGGTGACCTATTTCAGGGCAAATGTGCCACTGTATGGCTGTGTGTTTGAAAACAAACAACCTGTGTTATTACCTCCATGAAAATGGAGGTATTGTTTTTGTTGTCTGTCTGTCTGTCTGTCTGTCTGTCTGTGTGTTTGTGTCTCCGCACATTTGCGGCCAGCATAACTTCATAACGCCTTTATGGATTGTGATGATATTTGGTACGCTGGTAGGTCTTAGGAAGACGAAGGTCAAGGTCAAATATACGCCTCCTGGTGGATGACCTTGGTACTGCAGCAGAACTTCCGGTTTTTGTATCTTTTGTCCTGAATATGCTATGGTCTTGATTTTTTGGTGGCAGATAGACTGTCCTGTCAGGAATAAGTGGTGTGGGTTTAGTCCCCCTAGCAGCGTGTTCTGGAACTGCAGGGGACTTTCGGGCGAAATCTTTAAAAGCCAATAAGTCCAGATAGAAACAATGTATTTTCATCAATTTTGGTAGGTAGGTAGCTGAGAGAGAGATGTACATAATTAACTCCAAATTATGCAAATGAGAACTTAATTTGCATAATTAATGAGGAAATTCTATAATTTTTACAGTGTTTTGCATTATAGTACTTTCATACATGTAATGTATGTAATCTATGGCAGATGGAACATCACCAGATACCAATTATGCAAATGATGACCTAATTTGCATAATTAATGCGAAAATTCTATGACTCCTTAGTGGTAAATGATGGGAATTTCATACTTGGTACATGTGCAAGTTAATCAAAAGTTAACATCACGATGCATTTATTATGTTAATGTGGAGGTAATTTGCATAATTAAAGAAGAAATTAACATTTACATGTCAAGCCCATATTTCATGGAGGTATGAGATCTCGGAACTCTTGTTTGTTTGTTTTTATTAGATCTCCATTAGTGTTCAACTGACCACTATTCTTCCTGGAGTCCACATAAAATTCAAAATTATAACAACAGAATTGTACAGAATTCAACTCAATATTAACATAATTTGAATAATTTAAAATAATAAACATAATTAAGTAACATAAGCTGAGTTCAAATTAGAGTGATCACCGACATTATAAAAGTAACATAATTAAGTAACATAAGGTAACTTAAGTTCGAAATCAAATTAATAATCAGTTAATGTAGTCAACTATGAAACAATTTAACAACAAAAATCTCTTGATTAAACAAATTGATAATGCAACTCAAACCAGAGAGGGAGAGGTCGGAGGTCAGAATGAGAATAAATTATAGTGGTAACTCAAAATACAGTAAACTGAGGTGGTAACTCAAAATACAGTAAACTGAGGTGGTAACTCAAAATACAGTAAACTGAGGTGGTAACTCCAAATACAGTAAACTGAGGTGGTAACTCCAAATACAGTAAACTGAGGTGGTAACTCAATATACCTGAGGTGTTCATACCTTACAGAAGTATACATTTCCCATGACTACAGTATTGCAAGTTTGTTTGTTGTTTATCAAATCATCTGAGCTCCACCTCTCTGATGGCCGCCTCCAAATCTTCTTTTTTCTTCTGGAGCTCAGCCATGGTGAGTGGGGCGGGCGGGGACGCCGGGGATTCTTGGTTGCCGAGACCTTAGCAATCCTTCCCCGCCTGGCCGGCCTTGTGCGACGAAAGAGGGTCGCCGCAGCCAGGGTCAGTTTATTCCTACCAGCTAAGGCGGCCTTGATAGGCACCCAGTTATTTTATTCCCAAAGAGTTGCCGTTTTTCCTTCAATCTGCAGTTTCCAGTAGTGGAATCTTCGTTTTCAGTCGTCTATGTCGCTTGTGTATAGCCTCCGTTCACTGAGAAAACCTGGTTTCTCACTTTCCCCCACCTGAGTAAACAAGCTTCAAGCTTGTCGGGTTTGAAACTCATCCGAGCCCATTCGTGCTAACGACTCTAGTCTCCGCAACACGCGTTTGGCACAGGGGGCTTTCTCAGTAAGCTAGCCACGTCGTCCATAAACGCCCTGAGGGGCGGACGTCTCTGAGCCGTGGCAGCTTTATCCCTCCTGCCACCTGTCTCGCAACTATGATACCTGAGGTGTTCATACCTTACAGAAGTATAAATTTCCCATGATTACAGTATTGCAAGTTTGTTTGTTGTTTATCAAATCATCTGAGCTCCACCTCTCTGATGGCCGCCTCCAAATCTTCTTTTTGCGACGTCCTCAGGGGACGGATCATTAGTATAGTACTGCGATCGATGTGCCAGGAATTCTAAAAATTCCGCCGATGCATCCCCTAGGGAATTCACTTTTTGCAATGCCGGTAGCAGCTGTGCCTTGTTTAGACTTCAGTGTCATTTTATTTGGGGCGTGTGTGGTATTCCTATTTACATTGTAAGAATGTTGATCTTACACAGCCGGAAAGCCACGTCGAGAGTTCTATGCGTTTCTCTTTTCCTTCCGCGAGAGAAAGTAGTCCGTTCCACGGCTCCGCCTCACAAGAAAGCTTACCGCGGGATTATACAATCAAATAACTTCCTTATTGTGACTTATTCATGATATTTAGACTTCTTTATTTGCTCCCCATGAATTTTTGAGCCGAGAATGTACCTTTCTCCTTTTGATATCATGACCTAAAATTAGGCAATTTTAGTGCAATTTCCCCGTGTATTTTCACCTTGATGCAGATTTCGCACCAACAGGAAATTTGTTGGGTGAGAAAGAGCAAGTCTTAATCTTTCTGATGGTATTTGACGTATAGACGATTTCGAGGGCGCAACGGGTTTTCCCCGAAATTCCGTGAGGCAATGTTACGGGAAAAAACAGAATTTTTCCCCAAATAGAACGCGCATCCCCGGCGCCGCGGCCGACGAGCTACGTGTGTTCTACGGAGCGCGCTCCTCTCCTACATGTCCTATACATGACCATACATCGCTATTATTGTCGACCTACGTCTAAACTACTTTTAGTTAGACTACACTGGGTGTTAATTCATCTTATATCTAAACAGGTTCTTTTATTTTGCACGCAGAATATATGTTTGTGGTCCCTTGATAGATACGGCCTGTCTGAAAACTTGAAACCAGCGTCTGCCTAAACGCGAGGAAACATTATACTCTCGTAGCTTCCTGACCTTTGAAAAACGCACATCTAATTAGAGCAAGCGGACCATTAGAACTAGAATACCTCAAACATTGATTCATGGTTGGGGAGAATTCAAAGAATAATTATTGTATCCGTTTTTTCTCGATTTGAATGGCGCTGGGTTTAAATAGTTACTTAAGAAAAGTTACATTTATCGACCTGCTGGCTTAGTAAAAAAAAGTAGCCTATGGACATAACCCAACGCTTCTGGTACCTAGTCAGGACAGTGCAACATGCATGCTGTGATTATGGGTAAGTTTATCCTGGATCTGTTATCCAATCTACATGTATAGTCAATGTGTACTGCTTACTATCATAAGATAACAGGTGCTCATGTCCCTAGTTTTACACAAAAGCATTTGCATATTTCTAAAAGTGCTCGGTGTTGTCAAATCCCTAAACATAACTCTCTCACATACATCCTAACAATTATACACAAAATTACCCAAGAGCCATTAACGTTGCTTCAACCTTTATCTCATTACCAAACCAAAAAAACAAAGTAGTACATTTTGTTGTGGACTGTGATATCAAATACTTTGGATCAGTACATGTATACATAGTACATCTTTTACCTTTACCTTTACCTAGTCCCATCCTCATGTCTGAGGGTCGGGGACTATGGTGGCATCCAGTATCAGCCTCCTCCACTCTCTCCTGTCTCTGGCCCTGTGAGAGCACTCAGCCAGTGGCATGCCCATCCAGTCACGGACATCGTCGCCCCACCTCCGGCGTGGTCTTCCACGGCTCCTCCTTCCGTTGATCACCCCTTGCAGTATGTGGGTGGTGATGTTCTCTGCTCGTGTGGCATGCCCAAAGTACTGGAGTTTCCGCCTCTTTATGGTGTTTAAAAGTGTTCTTTCCACTCCCAGCTGTTCTAACACAGAGTCATTTGTGCGGTGGTCCGTCCAGCTTATGCGCAGGATCTTCCTGTAGCATTTCATCTCTAGGGCCTGAATCCTGCGGATGTCACTGGCGTGTAGGGTCCATGCCTCACAACCGTAGGTTACCACGGGCCAGACGAGAGTCCTCAGCACTTTCAGCTTGGTTACTGTCTTGAGGGCCCTGTCTTTCCAGATTGTCTCTAGGCTTCGGAGGGCTGCACGAGCTGATCCTAGTCTTACACTGATCTCGTGGCTGCAGCTAGCGGTTTGATCCATTGTGGATCCCAGGTACTTGAATCTTGGGACCTGTTGTAGCTGTTCCCCCCGGCAGGTGGCCGTTACCTGGGTGGGTGCTTTGGTTACGGCCATCACTTTGGTCTTTTTGGTACTGATTTCCAGTTGGTATTCTCTAGATGTGCTGTCTGTAGAGTCTAGCAGAACCTGAAGATCTTCCGGCGAGGTAGCTATCAGTGCTATGTCGTCAGCGAAGCGGAGGTTGTTGATGACCCTGCCGCTTATGTTGACTCCAATCGTGGGATGTTCCTCCACAGATTCCCTCATTACAGCCTCAGAGTA